AGTAAGGGTCAAGGTCGAAGTGCACTTTCCAGGCTGGGTCTGCCTGGAACTAAACTCTTCTCCATAGTCTCTTTGCTTCCTCTTGAAATTAAGGCTGATTTTTTTTTCTTTCTAATTTTTATGAATTAAATTTATTGGGGTGGCATTTGTTAATAAGATTACATAGGTTTCAAGTGTAGATTTCTGATAAGGGATCTGTATATTGCACTGTGTGCTCACCACCCAAACTTAAATCATCTTCCATCACCATGTATTTGGCCCCCTTTGCTCCCTCATCCCCTTCCCTAGGTAACCACCCTACTGTTGTTTGTGTCTATGAGTTTGTTTTATGTCCCACACAGGAATGAAATCATATGGTTCTTAACTTTTTCTAAGGCTGGTCTTTAACACTGGTTAGGAGGCTCTGATTTGGCTTCTCTGGAGATACAGTACCATCTCTCACGACCACACAACTTTAAACAGCCTGTGTAAACAGCACAGTGTATGGGTCCTCTTAGGGTCTTTTTAAAAATTTTTTATTATGCACTACGTAATACACTGCATCACCTTCTAGCAGGGGTAGATGAGCATAACCGAGTTATTCTCATCCATCAGGAAAATGTTTCCTTACTCAATGTTCTCTAAATCTTTGACACATAGCAACAATTAACTTCAGAGACACACCTATCTCTTTTATTAACTTCAGAGACACGCCTCTCTCTTTCTGACAAAGTCCACTGATGGAATAACAGGCAACCCTTTCCCCTTGCCCATCAGTGAGCCTGTGGATGCACAGTGGCAACTCCGGGCGTGGGAAAGCCCGTGCCCTGACAGCGATCCCAGGGAGAATCTCAAGTCAAACTGTGGCAAGGTTACCAAGGCCTTAGATTCTTGATAAGAGCCCATACTAGTTCAGGACACCCATAATATTTAATACCTGTAGGCCTTTAACAAATATATAAAGGCATAGAAATCATCTCTCCCTATTAGGAACATTTAGCCACTTCAATAAATTCAACACGATCCTCCTCAGGCATGAACTGTTGGACTAAAGCAACTGCTCAGGCTAAGTCCTGATGTAACACTATGACTTCCAACCTTAGTTTGGTGACCTCTCAGGTAGCACCAATGATTTCCTAAGTATTAAGAAATTTTGCTTTTAGAAAATCAACTTTGTCCCACTTAACTAAACCAGAGTGTTCAGAAAAGCTGAAAATGTCTGGCTCAAACAGCTTTTGTCAACACCACTGAGAAGCCCTATTAGCTGACCAGTTGAGCCATTTTAATTTTTATGTTGGTAATTTTATGTGTGCATCTCCTTGTCCTATAAGCATTAAGTGTCAGGAACACATGCAGGGCTGTGGAATTCACTGTGCATTGAGTGGACACAAAGGGATTTACAGCACAACACTGAGCAGCTGGTATCCATAGGACTGCGGGCATCCTAAACTCTGAAGATGCTACTTTGTAACCTCAAAAAAATACGTAAGCAAGGTAGAATGAAACATTTCAACAAGAATTATTCAAAAGACAACAGGCACACACTAAATACGTAAGGTTATATTCAGGGTTTAAACTAGTCCCTGAACATCCTTAGTAACACCCCGGAAGGAAATGGGGTGAATGAGAACTTAAGCTTTCCAAGGATTACAGTTCAAATCCTCTGAAATTAACTGGAGGTCAAATAAAATGAGAACTCAAGTTTACAGTAGTAACTTCTTGCTGGCACCAGCACAAGGCGGTAGTGATCTCAAGTTTAATATATTACATGTAATACTATAAAAATAAGCTGAAGTTTTAAGGAGTATCCATTATTATTAAAAGGTTTGAGCTTTACTACTCCAACCCTGGGGTTCTGACAGAACATTCTGGAGAAAAGCTCCTAAGAGCACAAGAAAGAGGTATACTAACTGACAAATAGCTGCTACGATATGCCACAGGCACTTGAGTTGTAACAATCTGGAAAAAGCATGGAACAGGTAGATTTCCAGGGAAAAACGGCTTCAGGCATGTGTAACAGAAACAAGTAGCAAATGACAAGTGACCTCTCTCACCACATTCACCGATGGGTATTCCATCTTTCCCACTGCTTTTTTGTTTACATATTATTATTGAGAACAGGGCAAGGAAAGGCAGTTTTCTCCAGGTGGCGTTTAAAAAAATAAAAACAAACGAGGGGATGCTATACCCCTGCATCAGTGCTCCGTGGCTGAAAACCCTCCCTCCGAAGACTGCCCATGTCAAAGCGAGTAGAGACCTCACAGCGTACTAACAAAGTATCATCCTTAATGAAGGTTCTTTGTCTTAGGGCTTCCAGATGCATAAAAGTCACATAACCAAAGCCTTTTGGGTTCCGTGGGATTGTGGGTCTCTGGAAGGCAAGGAGCTCTGGTTTGGCATCCATTATCTCCTCATGGTTTTGCCTTATAGGTGCTTCAGACTGATCGAGAATTGTAAGGCGTATTGTACCCTGGAAGGGCCAAGGGAGGTGGCTGTCATACTCTCCTTGCATTGTGTGGACAAAGAGGGATATATAGTTTGCACAGCGCTGAGCAGTTGGTAACTGAAGGTGCAGGCGCATGCAGAGTTTGTATCCGGGTTTGCCTGTGTAGAACCCAGGGCTATGAATGACAACAGGTTTCTCCTCTTCTTGAGATTTCAAGTGCATCCCAAAGTTACCGATCTTCCAGATGTAAATCCCATTGCACTGCTGTGCTTCTATTTCAGCAACTTTGTCCTCAAGGGTTCGAATAGTTCGTTTGAGCTCACTTACATACATGCTCTGAGTTTCCATTTTCGCAGTGAGCTCCCGGATTTGATGGTCTTGTCTTACAAGGCGACCCTCTAACTGTTGAATGGTTTCTTGGAAATTCTGGACCTCTGGGTGACACCCAGAGACCCGGGGTAGAGAGGCAGAGTCATATGGTAGCATATCACGCTGTGGCATGGGAGCTACAGCAAGGTTTAAACTCTGCACAGCCTGGGCCAGCATTCTCATGTGTGACTGGGTATTCTCTTGTAGGTGGCGCGCCAAGTGAATCCTCTGCATCTGAAAATCAAGTACAAGCTTTAGGCTGGACTAGATACTGTGAGGACTAGGACAGGGGCCTAGCCAAGCCAAATATATGGTTTTTAGGTAACGTCACCATTTCCCTCAATCCCCTATACCCTTCTTTGTCTTCACTAGATTCTAGATCCTACTGTTACTGGACAGGGTCTGGGCCCAGGGTGGGTCTGCCTAGGGCCTGCCAATAGTGTGTGGGTTCCTGACTTTGTATAGGAAAAATTTCACAACATGAGTTCAGGTGGCTTTTGAGAGTATGTTTATTAAGGCTGGAGACAGTAAAACAAAGGGAGGGCTTGAGGTAGGAGAAGCAACAGGAGAGAAAAAGTCAGAGAACAGGATGGAGGCCTTGGAGACAGGTTCAGGGGGTTAGCCTGGGTAGAGTTGCTGCCACTGCTCCCCTGGCTGCAAGTGTTGTGGGGTCCCTTGGAGTTTAGGAGAAAAACAGCAAAGATACAAGGTGTGGGCGTACTCTTGGGAGAGCACAAGGTAGGTGAAGTATGTTTATTAAAGCTGGGGCCAGTGAAATGAAAGGGTGGCTTAGAGCCTAGGTGGGGTTGCTTTGGCTCTCTGAGAAAGTGAAGTCACAGTGACAGAAGTGAGCTCACTGGGAAGCCAGAGAAAAAGGGGGCCCTGGAGACAAGTTCAAGGGGTAAGCCTTGGACAAGCTGCCACTGCCCACTGCTCCCCTGGCTGCAAGTCTCATGGGATCCCTTGGAGTTTAGGAGATGCTTGTGGAGGAAGAAGTTGGGAAGGGAAAAGTGCTGGCTTGCTCCCGGGAGGGAGAGAGAGCTTGCCATGGATCCTTTGTCTTGAGGCTTTTTAATCTCTCTTTGGCTGATGGAATCCTAGGGGAGGTCTCTGGGGAGGGTCTCAACAGATTATTCATTAGCTCTTCAGATGTGTCCTTCGATATGCTGATTCATCAAAACGTGTGTGTAAAGGGGCCAGAGTTATTTTCTGGTTAGTTTTATGAATGGTATTGAAGAGAGACTGGGACCAAGCAGGTCTGCCCAGGACAGTCTGGAATGTGTAACCCATTTGCTCCTAAGTGTCCTTGGTTGAGGAAGATAAAACCTTGTGATTTATTAGCTGGCTGTAAATTGCTCAAATTGTTTGGCCTTGTCTAATTATTTTGTCTCAGTTTCCCTTATTCCACTAGTCAAGGAATTTCCCGAGCTTCTTACTATCCTCTCTCACTATGAGATAACCCTGTCTCTTAATTCGCTGAAAAACTGAGGCAATCTGCTGAGTATGCTCCTATCTGTCATTCAGATAAACCTCCCTCCCACTTACAAAAGTATCAGGATCCACACCCGTCCTCCTCTTCTGACTCAGGGATGGCTCCTCTGATCCAAGATTAATGCTTCACCTGGGCTCTTAAGTGGCACCCGCCCCTTTCAAAACCTCAGAGGTGTGGCTCAGTTATCCCCTTTCTATCATCAAACATTGTCTCCCCCTAACACTTCCCCTCAGAATATAATTATTAAAGTCTTTCCCATTAAAAAAAAAAAAAAAAAGGCAAACCTCTCTATTGATCTTGCGTCTCCCTCTAGCTAATACAACCTCTTCCTTTTATAACCAAGAGTAGTCTACCTGCACTGACACCAAGTACTCACTTATTATACAAATCTATTGCAAATTAGAATCTTTCCTGTCTTCATACTCTTCTCAGGTCATCAAGAACATTGTAATTGTTATATGAAAAAAATATTCCTGATGTAACAATTTTTATTGTAATAATAATTCATGTGTATTATAAAAAATAGAAAATGTAGATGATCAAAAAGAAAATGTTACTTCATTTAGCTATTAACATTTTGATACATTTCTTTGAAGTCTTCTTCTCTATCCACACATATACAGAATTTGCACCCCCAAAATGAAATCATACTGTACACAATTTGCTCCTTTTATTTTTTAAATTATTAAATACATGCTTATTGTAAAAAAAGTCAGATAAAAAAAACATAATGGCAATGCAAAGTGTACCTGTACTCTCCAGAAAGAGTACAATTAGTTATTTTATAACTAATGACCTATCTCGGATACTTGACACAACTGATCACTACTAGTCTTGACACTCATTTTGGAGACTATAACACCACATTCTCCTTGCCTGGTTTGAGTTCTAACACTGTTCACTATAGCTTCTGCCCTGGTCGACTTCTCTTTCCTGTACACACTTGCCCTATGTGATCTCAATCACACACCTTCCATTCATCACTAACTACTTCCCCAAGTCAATATTCTGAGTCCCAATTTCTCTTTGGAGTTTAAGACTATATACAATGCATGCCAGCCACCTCCATTCCCACTGGTATTCTCCACTGCATTATATAACTGAATTTTCTTGATCTATATTTAAGAATTAAAAAAAGAAACACCTTACCTTTTCATGGCAACCAAAAGAACTGAATGTGCATGGAATTGGGGCTGTAGGACAGTCTAGATCAAAATGATTAGGCATCTGAAAACGGAAACAAAGGTTGAAAAATGTTTTCCCCTGCATATCTGGTTATAGTTTGATGAGATCACACTTAAAATAAAGATTTACATTTCATCTAAACAAAATCGTGGATTATCTATGGCTGCCTTAGCATCACAAAGGCAGAGTTGAATAGTTGGAACAAAAGGCAGGTAGCTCACAAACATTAAAATAATATTTACTTCTAAGTCACAGAGAAAGAAAATACCAACATCTCATACCATCCCCCAAATTACTCAAAATTCAAGAAAATGAATTTGTTCCTATTGCTGGGAAGTGGAACCCTCTAGTGGCACTTTAAAGAAAAAGCACCTTCTGACGTCAACCTCAACTGCAAATTTAACCAGAACTCTCACTGTTGGTCCAGACTATTTAACAGGAACCAGCCAACTGTAAGCCACACACTGCACCCAGCACTTCCCTCATGACCATCTTCCATAAATCTTCTTAGCTTTTGTTAACCTGAGCATGTTTTGGCTACAACGGGAGACTCAGATGTCAGAAGGTATTTTAAGTACATTAATAAAAGTTCTAAAGAACGTCTCAGCTTTTGATTTGGGGGCTCAGTCTTTAAGGTAAGACCCATTACAGAGAACCATATTCTTTGGAACTGACACCAAATTCCCTTAGAAATTTAGGTTAGCTATAGTCATAGACATTTCAAGGGGAAACGACATTAGAGACTATTTAACCCAATCCTTCAATTTTGCATACCCCACAACAGTGAACAGCAAAATTTTTTGTAAAGGGTCAAATAGTAAATATTTTCAGCTTTGCAGGCCCTATGGTCTTTGTTCCAAGTACTCAACTCTATCATTGTGGTAGAAAACCAGTCATATATGACATATAGACAAATGGCATGGCTGTGTTCCAATACAACTTATTTATAAAAACAGGCAGCCAGAACACATTGGGCTGGGAGGCTGATATGCTGATCCCTTATCTAGAATCTCAAGTTTCTTGCCAAGATCAATGGCAAGGCAGTGGCACAACCAGGGTCAAAACCTAGGTTTTCTGACTTCTTAACCTAGGATTTTTTTCCTACATTAAGTTTTATTTTTCCTAGGTTTTAGATGTGCTGCATGGTTTCCTTTAAATATTTTAACAGAGCAGGTGAGACTTAATAAGCAAAAAAAGTTTAACATCTTTAAATTAAGACTTCGTTGGAAAAAGCTATAGGACTCTATTAAGACAAATGGAAAAGTTTAGTCGAGTGACAGGTTTTGCTTGCTGCTAGTTAGTAAGGTAATCAATTATGATTTCTGGGTTTGCAGATTTCATGGGCGTATAAATAGTGACTAATATTCAAATTCTGTGGGTGAATTCCCCAAATGTCAGAAGATAGCAATCAGATGGAATTTTCCTATCTCTATTAATTACATAAATGCATAGTTTTCTACTGTAACTGCTACTGCTGCGGCCCCATTAGTGATCTATGGGACAACTAAATAAGAGGGGTTACAGATCTTGGGAGTCTCAGAATCTCTCAATATGCCTCAGGCGCCATGCAGACAAATAATGCTCTGCCACTGAACAGACCTGCTTTCTTCTATTGCATTGTTCTGTCAGTCAGTCTCTGGATACCTAAGACCCTTATTTCACAGTGCGTAAATATGTATTTAAGGTGTTTTTTCCTTTAAACGGGGATTTTGATTATTTGTATCTTAAAGTTACCTGGTTTTATCTGGAAGTTTTATAAATATTGATTTAATTAAAAACCTAACTCACTCCTTTAATCTATTTATGGAAATATTAACTGATGAAAGGGAATCATTATACCTGTTCTCTGATGAGCACTGTATTGCAGTATTCACAGATGACATTTGCCAAAGGACAGTTCTGGTCGTGGAGCTAAATTTTATTAGAGAAATATAAGAAAAGTGTGAGAAAATCTGAAAAATGGGAAAAACAACCTATTTTTAGAAAAGTAATTTTTTCACTATAAAATTAAGGACATTAACATGTATTTTAAAAAAGTGAGGATAGTAATGAGATACATCTCGCATTTCAGCTCTTTAAAAGAACATAGTAGTACACAAAAGAGAATCTTTTAAATGACTTCTTTTAACATGAGGCAGAGCATCTCTCACTAATCTGGACATCATTTACCAATACTATAATTCTCCAAAGGCATTCCTCCAAAAATCTCCAGCAGCAGCATGACAATTATATTAAAGCTCTTATCAGGAGGGTTAAAGAACAGAAGCGTTATTAGGGCAAGAGGCTTTGGTGCCCAGGTTCTCATAGGCCCTGGAAGGGTGAACTTGTTTTCTAAAATACAGTGAATTTAAGAAATAACTAACCCTTCAGGTTACGTCCATTTAATTTACTTAAATTTAGGAAAACATCAATTTGTTCTAATTATGCCTCAGCCTTCTCTCCATTTTTAGCAAGTTTGTTGACTTTTTTCAATATTTCATCAACTTAACGAGTATAATATGCTTGATTTCATAAGAAAGCAGTGAAAATTACTAATATACACTTATAAGAAATAAAGTTTGAAGAAGTATGATAGTAGTTATAAAAGAATATAAGTTATATGTAGATTATTTTAGTAAAGAGGACACAGGACTAGGATCTCAGTGCTAGCTTTGCCTTTACAATGTTAATATAAAATTACTTAACTTCTTTACATCTCAGTTTCTGAATGAAAAAAACTGCTCTATTATCATGATGCTGTCAGGTGCCATGAAGTTTCTTTTTAAAGATAAATGTTTTAACTGAAATGTAACTTATTTCCAGAAAAGTGAATTCATTATATGTGTAAAGCTCAGTGATTTATCACCAAAGAAACGCGCGTGGGATTTAATTTGTTCTCCATAAAAGTTTTAACAATCCATTCTCTTTCTCAACGAGTAAAGCCTAAGTCTTATATGGTAATCATTCTACTTGTCTTTAATTCAAGACTGGTCATTAAAATATCTCCTGGGAGAGTGGGTCAACATGTCTTTCCTTGAAGATTTTTGTCACTTGCAGATCTACTATGGTGGTAAGTAGTATAAACAGTGTTTTCTAAGACAGATATTCGAATATAAACTCCACGCTTATGTACTAGAATGGTTAACGGAACTTCTTAAAAAATGGACCTTTCCACACTGATAACAGAGACTCAGAACTGGGAGTGACAGCCTCATCTACCACAAAGTCCCTTAAACGTACATTAAAAAAAAACGTAGTGGAATTTAGAAATCCAAGTAGTACATGCCTCTTTATCTTCAAATGCCATCAACATAGCACAGTTTTCACAAGAAACCTGTCTCCTTGGACATTCCTTGAGAATATGGATATTAAGCTGGCACTTTTGGAACCGACGCTGGCACTGGGGACAATTCATGAGAGCAAACTCACAATGTACTTGATGATCCTATAATAAGGAAAAAATAATCTATTAGTACCTGCCAATCTTTAAGAAACCTCCCAGATATAATCTCTTCTGAGTACACACTATTCTCTCTCAAAACAGCTACTCCTTCACAAGGAGCTAAGTAAAAGGGACAGTTGCAAATATGTTTTAAACACTTAATTTCAAATAGATCATAAACAATATTTAATTTCTCAGAAAATGACCAAACTAAAAATGAATTTAATTTAGAGGCAAATTCTTTTACCTGGTTGCTTCAGTTCATCTCAAGTTATAGAAAGACTCCATTTAGTTCATAATAAAATGGAAAATTTAGAAAAAGAGATAAAAGTATAATGAGGGTACTAAGATGATGGCTATATGAGACTTGTTACTTATTTCAAAATGAGAGAAATAGCCCTGGCCGGTGGCTCAGTTGGTTGGAACATGATCCTGTACACCAAAAGGCTGCGGGTTTGCTTTCCCAGTCAGCGCACATACCTAGGCTGGGGGTTTGATCCCCCATCAGGCCGGTAGGGGAAGCAACCGATCAATGTCTCTCCCGCCCCCAGCTCCCTCCCTCATATCCTAGGCAAGGATGAAAGAGAGAGAGAAATGAAGAGATTAAAATGTGACATTTGTATTTAAAATGCTCTTCAGTTTTATAGCAAATAATGTTCACCCCAAAACTTAAAAGAATACTACCTTCTTTATTATCGTTTGGCAAAATCAGAATAGATGGAATAAGAAATTTCTATTTCTACTTTTATTTATATCCAAAAACGAAAGGGATGGTATCTTATTAACAACTATTGTATGCTACGCACTGGCAATACACAGACAGACACAGCAAAGTCTCTATTCTCTGGGAACTGCCTTGCATATATGCTAAGGCTAGAAAATAACTTTAATACCTCAAGATGCCTCAGTTCCATCTTGTGCAAACAACCTTCATTTGGACACCTCACCATCAGAGAAAGAATCTCTCGTTTTGCAAAATTGTCAGGAAACAGCTGAGTTTCCAGTAGTATTTCATTATCAACTGGACATTTGTGACCTGCATCCCTAAAAGAAACAAATAACATACATACATTTAGTAGGTTTAAACAAACATTAACATTAAAAAATACAAACAAGTTTAATTCACCATGTAAAAATTCTCCATTTATTATTTCCTGTGGAAAATAATTTTAATACATTATATTGCATATTACCAAAAAACCTCCCCAAAACCAAAAAAACACACACACAAACCACACAAAAAAATCAAAAAACAAAAACCCCAAAACCTGTCCTTTTATGTACAGTTCATGAACTGTTCTTTTATGCAATGAATACAACTAGCACCATATTGGTTACCTATCAGAAACTATGGGATTTTGGATTGTGGGATAGAGTTCAACCAAAAAATGAGAAAAAGTAACTGAATCAAGTAATATTCTGATTGTCATTAAATGAAGTAAAAGTTACGGATGGGGATTTTGCAGTCCGGCAGGCCTCTGTTCTGTCAGCAGCTACACAACATGCTGGCGAGATAAACTAAATATGCTGCTTGTAATACCAACAACATGTCGATAGCTCATAACAACAAAAGCTTTCCTTTATTTTTATGTATAGGGTACAATTTAGTAGGGAGTTAAAGGACCTCTACTTCTTGCTTCCCAGTGGTTTCCCCGTGGTTATTTCATCTTATGATGGGAAAAACCATCCCCAGGAAGTCTGGTTGTCTGTCACTTCCCTTTAACTTTTTGGGATGTCTCAATCTTCACTCACAAAATGTGGCAGGTCAGGTAGGCTATATTAGTCAATCATTCAAATCATTTGTTGAGCATCTCCTGCGTATAAGCCAACAGTGGTAGTTGCTGTGGTAGGTAGTTGCTGTGGTAGGTAGCTGAAAATGGGGTCTGCTGTCAAATGCCTTAAAACTAATAAAGGTGAGGGATACAGACAATCTTTAATGGGGATTCTCTCAGGCTAATGTTATTAGTACACTGTCAAATATTTTATGAGAAGAATAGAAAACTATAAACAAGTTTATTGAAATATATACCCAAGACCTAAGTGATGGATGTCTAAGAGAAAAGAAGAAGAAACTTACAAAGTAAACTGAAAACCATTATCCACAGCAAATGGAATTGGATTAACATATATTTTCATTCCTGAAGGATTATAATGGATGAGAAATTTTGAAGCCATTCTTTTAAGAACATTAGACTCAAAGTAAGTGGTCATTTCTAGCTGAGGGAGATAGAAAAAGAAAGCCTCAGACTTCCTTTTGTGGGTTTTACTTCCTTTTTAGACCACTGTCCATTACTTTCATGAATATCTTGCTATTTTAAAAAACTGCTAAAGATTAGCTACCTTCCTGGGCATGATGACACTTTGTAAAACACTGCACATCTCTCTATCTACAAAAAAATCAACGATCCATAATATGGTACATACAACCTATAAAGACTGAATCATGAAGAAACAAAATCTGGACAGATTACTAGTAAAGAAAGTAAATCAGTAATCAACCTCTTCACTTCCCCCCAAAACCCCCAAAACCTCCCAACAAACAAAAGTCCAGGAGTAGATGGCTTCTCCATCAAACATTTAAGGAAGAATTAATACCTATCCTTCCTAAACTCTTCCAAAGAATGGAAAAGGAAGGAACACTTCCAAACTCATTTTATTACCCTGATACCAAAACCAGACAAGGACACAAGAAAAGTCAATTTAAAAGTTGAAAGAAAAATCTGCAAGATAGTAGCCAGCTTAACTTACTTACAAAAGATTTCACCAATATAACTAGATGTTTGTTATTGAAGAACATAGAATCCTCCCACTACTTCCAATTATTTTTTGTCTTATACAGAACTCTTTAGTCACCTGAAATATTCCCATCTACTTTTGCATCATAATAAAATGTATTTATTTCTTGGGAGATGAACTTGACTCATTCATGGAAATCCCACATACCTTCATTCAGTTAAAGCAACTATGATTTACTGAGTGCCGGGCACTATTTCTGGCACATAGGGAATATCAAGAAATTAAATAGATCTCAACCTCTGCTCTCAAGGAGCTTATTTTCCAATTGGGTAAGAGAG